CCAAGCCCACGTAAAGAGGCGGAGCTTGAAACACGAACCCATCGGGCAGCTCTCGCTCGGGCTCCAAAAGGTCTTTTTCACGAAGCCAGGCCGCTGTATCAGCGAGGAGCCGAGTCCAGGCACCTTTCTGGATGCTTTGCCTCACACCTTCTCGGGCGACCTCGCGAGGCACAGGGGCTCGCACGGCAGCTTGCCAGGTAGAGGAGGCATCAGTGGCAGTCACAGAGCCGTCAACCGGAGCGCGAAGACACACACCGGCAAGCGGCCCGAGCAGCATGAAAGAGCTGAGCTCGGCGGCCAGCTCGGGAGAGAGCCGAATGATATCGTTGGGGCCGAGCCCTCGCACAGCAGAGAAGACATGAACCATGCTCGCGAGCAGCCGCCTCCGCAGCAGGAAGACCGACAGCCACGAGCCCACCAAGCTCTCCAAGAGCTGGGCAGTAGTCAGCGCCTCTCAGGGTTCGGTCGCACCCAGCCGCTCTCACCGTGCACCGTGATTCCCCAAAAAGAGGCCTTGGTAGAGTCCGAAAAAACTTTATCCTCACTCACCTTCAAAGGGGCCCGGCGATAGGCTTCCAGGGCCGCGTCGAGACGGCGCCGGCCAAGAGAAGGCCCTCCTTTGCCCAGGCCCTCGCCGACACGACTAGCCAAGGCCTTTTCCAAGAAAATCAGATCGTCGATCACCAGACCGATGCTCAGCAGGCCCCTCGGGGGAGCAGCGGCATGAACAAGGAGTTCTCCTGGATGCACAGCCCCGCCGCGGAGGCAGACACCTAAGTGCGCGCACTGGGCCACTTCACAGGCTGCACAGTCGCCCATAGCCAAGCTTGAAAAAGCATCGTGCACGCGGGCAGGGCCGGCCTTGAAGGACGAGGCAGGCACCCGGAAAACAAAAGCAGCCTCCTCGTGGCTAAGCGAATCAGCCAGGAGATTCCTCTGGATGCGGCCGGGCGGGGCCTGGAACTGATAGAAACAATCTTTCAGGTCGGCCCCCGCCAGCAGTAAAATCTGGTCGGGCTCCAGCACGATAGAGCTCACGGCAGCAGCAGCGGCGAGGGTGCGAGTCCACGTCGAGC